AAGTAATAAAAACTATTTTAGACTTAAACTGTTTCTTATGAGATGTGAAGAAATATACCTCAGGCTTTGTAGGGGGTTCATCTGTACAGATTCTCTAGAAAGTCTCAGTGACAGGTGACCACAGCCCAAAAGCTCATTAATGGATAAACAAAGGCTAGCTTAGGTCTTGGGACATTTATTTTTAATTTTAAGTAGGTTTACAAAACTTGCAGTAGATCTGTAGTAGAGTCTTATTCACCACATTTCATTTAAATTGATAAAGGACTGGTAACTCAATTTTCTGATAACGATATAACTAGGCCTCAGGATCAATTGAATTTTACAGTCCTGCTTCTCAAAGGGTGGATTGCAGTTCCGACCTGACCTAGGTCTCATCAGCATTTCCAGCAAGATTTGAAACTGGGTAATGCAGAGTAGTCTCGACAAGCTAACCAATGTACCGCACTGCCACAAGTGCCTTTGTTCTACAAGATAGGCGTGCATTTCAGGCAGGGCCAGGCCTCCAATATATTTATCTATTAAGATCTCGATGAGGCATTTTCCTATATTGCATTTTGTGGAGGGCTACAATGGGCTACGTTGCTTATACTTCGTCTATAATTAGATTTAGAGACTACCACTATTTATGTATGAAGCGTATTGACCTTATTTTGTCTAAGGTGATAAGATGGTTGGTAGTCGAATTATACGCTGGGCTTTTATGGTTCGAGTCCCACTGGGAGTGTTAGTAAGGCCTATGCAAGGTCGAAATTGTAGTCCACTCTGGATGAGAATACCTTGTATGGAAGCAAGGCTATGCGAAATTCAATAGAAATGTAATGTTTACTCAATAATATGAGTTCCCACAATAATATGTGGGAAGAATTCGGCTACTAGTCCCCTTAACATCTTAAAAGAAATAGGACAAGTATATTTAATATATAAATGACCTACTGGTAGTCCTGAAGACCCATTTATAAAGGAAGCATGAGAAAAATTAAAGGTATGACCGTTTGAGTGGTCTTAGTCTCCTTTCGTTGTATAGAAGTTGTTTGACATTGTTTTCACAACTTGGTCATATCGGTAGAAAGACTTCGAGGAACTCACCTAGTCCGGAGTCCATAGTATGCATGATAATTTCCAGAGTCGGACTGTGGACGTAGTACATTCCCAGACGTTTCGCCGGCATCGTCAGTGAGTCTTGGTATTCTTAGCACCACACTAAAACTCGTAATAGAAACAAATGAAGCCGATCCATTTACTAATTGTCTGCTAAACAATCGTGGTATCTCTCCTTCCCCCCTGGGATAATCACCAATCCTATATCCTCGTATCACGCCTTCGCTATCATAATTTTTACTTGCTTATTTAAATGTGTTATAATGCACCTTTTTGAGCGGCTGTCATGATGACTCTTCGCATTTCATGCTGGCCTTCTCACTTCCCCTCTCCTTTTCACTCTTCTGGTGGGAATGTCGGTTAGATTCCGCCATATTGTTACGCAGCCCTTCTTCCATAGGTTTTATCAGTCTCCCTCTTGCCCCATAGGATCCGTCTGCTATAGCCCCGGTTCTAGTATTTCACTCGATCCCTGCCACCACATCTGTAGTACTCGAATCATTACTTCCCACACTGCTTCTGGTAGACCAACTTGAGGCTAAAGCTCCTGCGTAATTCTCATGGTCAAGCCTTTGCTTCATGGATCACGTCTATGGTAAAACAGGCCAAGGTCAACCAACAAGCTCTAGCCTGCCGCGCCCACCCTGTTTCTATCCATAATACTAAGTCTATGACTTCCTACGCCCTAGTCTCCTGTGTGCCAACCCACAAATGTTGTGATATTGCTTGCTTTGATTAGGTTCACTGTTGAACCACAACATTTGTTGTTTGGCCTACAGGATACTAGGGCATAAGAAGTCATAGACTTAGTATTAGGAATAGAAACAGGGTGGACGCGACCGACTAGAACTAGTTGGTTGACCGTAGGCCTGTTTTACCATATACGTGGTCAATAAGGCTAAGGCTTTACTGTGAGAATTAATCAGGGGCTTTAGCCTTAGGTTAGTTTCCCAGGGGCAGTGTGGGAAATAACGCCTCGAGTACTACAGATGGGGTGGCAGGAGTCGAGTGAAATACTAGAACCAAGGATATAGCAACAGATCCTACGGTGCTAAAGGGAGACTGATAAATGTTTCCAGTACAAGGGTGAAGGGGTGAGGGAAGGTGAAAAGGCCAGCGTGGAGCGTAGGGATCTTATTACAGCCGCTAAAAAGAGCACACTATCCCACATTAAAATAAACAAGTAAAAATTGTGATACGATGATACAGGATTGGTGATTGGCCCAGGGAGGAAGGAGAGACACCACGATTGTTTAGCAGACAATTGGTCAGTGGATCGGCTTCACTTTTCCATATGACGAGTTGTAGTGTGATGCTAAGAGTGGCAAGACTCATTGACAATGCCGGCGAAACGTCTGGGAATGTATCACGTCCACGGTCTAACTCTGGAAATTATCATGCATACTATGGACTCTGGATTAGTTGCGTTTATCGAAGTCTTCCTACCGATATGACCAAGTTGCGAAAACAAGGTCAAACAACTCCCATGATGAATATCGCCTGGAGCAAAAGGTATACCGTAGCCTGAACAGAGTTAAATCAGATAGGATAAGATAAGCAACGAATCTTCGGGCCATAAGTGAGATTTGCATATGAGGTCTATGTCGGATCAACAATAATGGCAAATCAAGGAGGGGGGGGGCAAGGAATAAAAGAGATCTGATAATATCCCACTCAATTGTTCAAAAAGGGCATATCTCAAGGGTAGTCGAACATAAGCAAATCAGATGTTTGATAGTGAGGGAATGAGATGCAAGCATATGGAGTATGGAGATGCTCTGAAGCATGATTGATAACCATTCGGCAAGGGATTGGCTTTACTTGCCCATCTGACGAGTTGTAGCTTGGTACTAAATATGGCAAGACTCACTGGCGATGCCGGCGAGACGTCTGTTAATGTATCAAGTCAACGGTCCAACAATAGGAATAATCATAGCTACTGTAACAGAGGACTTCAGGCAAGTTGCGAAAACGAGAGCAGACCAGTTTTATGCAGCTCAAGAATACTGCGACTAAGAAGTAGGTCATAACATCTTGGATCTTCATATCAAAAATAACTGAAGATAATGGATACAACTTTCATACAAATATATTGATAGTCTCAAAAACTTTCTTCAAATAGAAAATAAGTGATCTAGTTGATTTTAAATAGTAAATGTAACTGTCTGATACATAATCCTAATAGGAAATATTCACGAGATGAATTATAGTTGCGACAAACAGTTAATCCTTTCATAGCTAAGGATAGCAAACTGGAAAATAATATCGATAATACGAAAAATTCTTAATAAAGACATTTTTAAGAACACATCCTTCTAAATCATCACATTTTAGTATGTCTAGGCCAAATTTTTATTTGTGAGATAACTAGACCGAAGATGACAGCAGCCAGCGTGTAGCAATACTTAAATGGTCGCATAATGCTAGCCTATTGATTTCAGCCCAGACTAATTTGTATATTAATTTGGGAAAAATTGATAGTTGTTTATTAAGTTACGGACAGGTCAAGAAATAACAAGTCTATTAATGTTAAATTAGGTAAATAAGATGACAAATTAACTTACCTATAGTCAGCTCCCCAGCCCTTGACGAAACTGATACGAATAGCGCACATATGAGTTAAGGAGAAGACGGTTTCGTAACTCCTTGTTGCACTCTGATTGAGCATTTCTATGAATTCTTGATTTTCGAACAACTTTAAATTACATTCTATAAAAGTATAATGAAAGAGGATAATGAGATGTATTCATCCTATTTCGTGTAAAATGATAAACAAAAATAAAAATTTTGCCAATTATCTGGTATGAACAAATATTTGTCTCAAGAATTCTATCCCGTTAGGGCCATAATACAGGAGTAGCTCTTGAATGCGGGATAACGAGTAAGTACATCAAGAGAGTCAATTAACTTACTAGGAGGTATTTTAACAACAGTGGCTGGATGCCAGCCATGAAATCGATTGCAGCTCGGAGACTGAACGAATATCGCCGCATCACTGAGGCACTCGACATATACTTCGCCAGAAAAATAGTGAAATCGAAGACCACGTCCTGGCAGAAGGCCATAAATTAAATAATAAGACAATTTAAGATGAATAAAGTATACCTATAAAAGTAATTACAAGAATATGCTAAAGGATTGCGACCAATACATTACTAAGAATATCTTGATGTAGAGATCCGGAGTTGAGATTGATTAGTTAATTATAAATAAGGCCTTTATGATAAAAATCAAATGATCTCGGAAGTTTACAGGAATATACTGTATTCAAGGAGTGCATCTTTGGTAGGAGACCAAAATTAAGAAAATCTCCCAATCAATTTTGAATGACCCCTAAAGTCCGAAGACTCCCAATGTCCACATTTCACATATGTACTATCCTACTTGAGGACAAGGGGGAATTATGAGGAAGCTAAACAAGTTTGGAGATATCAGGAAATCATAAATTTGAAAATTGAAGGTTTGCAAAATAGGTAGTTAGGCTTCGCTAGCTCACCGATGTGCCTTCGAGTCATCTCAACTTGGAGCGGTCTATTAACCTGGCTTAGGCTACCCAAGCTAAATCGGTCACCTCGATAGCATGGTTCTGTGAATCCGTCTATAGTGAGGCTGGATCGGTCAGCATGAAACACATCGCCCACTCGCATCTTTAATTCGTAATAAAATACACTGCACCAGTGTAGGGGCTCCGGGAAAGCTTCAGCGACGTCCGAAATTGATAATGAGTGTTGTTTCAGACGATCGGAAAGGAGGTCTTGCGAAAAGAGTAAAACAATAAATTTAAAAAAATTTAATTAATTTTGAAATTTAAGAAAGGAAAATGGAATACAAAAGACCTGTCAAGGGAAACCAGGTTTTTAAGTGTAAATTGCTTGAAATTTAGTTCAGTGACCATCATCAAGCAAGGTATAATTTTAAAATATACTTCAAGCTAAAGAGTTTCTTTATTCATAAATCTGAACAAGTTGCAAGAATGATAATGGTCGTATGAAGGACGAAAATGTAGCATTCATTTAGAGTAGGTTCCGATACGATAATTAAATCCTAAATTAGAACGGGTCGCATAAAGTGATGAGGGAATTATGAATGAAATTTTCTACAATTATATAAATAGGCCTTAAGATGTGATTTAATTTCTGTTAGCTCCATTTCCAACATGTTATCACCACGTTACATTGCCGCAGGTGCCAATTAATCACAGCGATGACTTGCCTTTCGAATATTGCATTCGTTTAATGGGATTGTTAATAAAACAGACTTAATTTGGCATTATAGTAGACTGAATTACTTACAGCATTATTGAGTAGCATTAAATACTATCGCTAGTTCCTGAATAACAACTGTATTGGCATAAAACCACTGGGAAAGTTCAATTATTATACCTTAATCACATTATAAAACCAAGAGTGAATATAGTTCTTATTCAAGATATGCTCACTTAGCATCAATAAAAATCAGTGTAGTCAACTACAATATGCCAATTTTAGGAGATTTTAATCTTAGATTTGTTTGGTTCATGGACATTCTCATCATAAAAATGCGATGTAAGAGGCCTGGCTTGCGTCGGAAGTCACTTCTGCTCTGATACCAATGGAATTGTGACGTAGCTTTTGTAAGTTGAGAATAAACTATGCTCTACTCGGGTTCGATTTCATTTGGGAGTGCTGTTGAGATTCAGATGAGGACAAAAATACAGCCTGTATTTCGTTTGGAAGGCAATACTAACATAATTGATGCTAGAGTGCCTTTCATTTGTTAGATATTAAGACGAAGATGTGGCCTTTTGTTTGGTTGCGGTGATCGACACCCATATAGTGTTTATTTGAGCTGTCACTTAAAAGTTGCAACTATGTGCTAAGGATAACGCCTATCACTGACGATGCCGGTGAAATGTCTGGGATTGTACAAAGTCAACGATCCGATGATGAAAATTATGAATACTATAACAGAGGAAGCAGAGCTTGTTAAGCTCCATGATGTCAGCACTACCTTTTATTTCGTTTGAAGAGGGTATTCGTAAGCTGGTCTCACCGGAAATATATGAGGGATTGTCTTGGAGCTGCGAGTAGATTTGTGCGAAGGTTTCGCGACTCTGACGAATCCTCATTGAGCTTTCGTCCTTCATGTGATAGACATAGTCAGAAGAGTACAGTATGCTTTTCGAAAATTCACCAGGCCAGATAAAATCCTAACTATTTCTTATATCCTAGCTTTGTCCACTTAATGAGACAACTCATGTATGATTAAATATCCTATGTTTTGCCTCACAAGAGGAGGATGGCCGATTCCAGTCGCTATGTGCTCATTTCATTTTGCTGTGACGTTCAGCTTGGCTCAGTCCATGAAACATCATCTCCAGCATTAGTGTGAACAAAGGCTTGTCTCTCGGGATATTATCGTCAGAGCAGAAACTCATTCTTGCAAAGCTTCGAGCTTGCATTGAGTCTGGCTAAGGTTCCAATTTTTTAGATGATACCACGATTATAAATTAGAACATTTTCTAACGTAAGAGTATCAAACCCAAGGTGATTTAATAAAATATATGAAGACCAAGATGATGTGGCCTTTAGTAGAGTCACGTTCGCCTTTCGTTGTATAATAGTTGTTTGACTTTGTTTTCGCAACTTGGTCAGATTGGCAAGAGGAGCGAATCCTGTCCGCAGTCCATAATATGAATAATAATTTCCAGAGTTGAGTCGTGGACCTAGTGTATTCGTAGACGTTTCGCCGGCAGCTTCAGTGAGTCTTGACAAGTTCACGGTCCGACACTGGAAATAATCACGCACACTATGGGCTCCAGATAAGGTGTGTTCTTCTAGATTTTTCTACGAATATGACTACGTTGACAAAAAAAGATCAAACAACTTATATTAGTGAACAGAATTATGGGAAGATCAAGTTCACGATTAAAATATAAAAGGATGGTAGCCTATCCTTTCTGAGTGACCTAATTAGTAGAGGGAAACAAACTAGGTGGAAGTGTATATAGGAAAGACAATTTCGGGATCACTCTTAAACTTCTTTTCAAGCCATACTTATGGAGCTAAAATAGGGATTACGAATTCCGTGCTAATAAAGAGCCTGCGTTTTGTAGATGTTAATCCTCGGTTAAGGAAAATATTAGTTGAAAGCGATTGCCCATTAGGATAAACTGATAATCACTTTAAAATAGTAGAAAATAAGAGTAAGGGAAACATCTATCTAGGGCAGGATAGACAGCTATACCACCACTAGGGTCCAGATGTTATCGTCTAGTCAGCTCCCAAAAAAGATAGATGCATTACTTAGAAATAAGAATATCAAGACAATGTAAAACAAGAAAAAACATTTCCCTCAGTAATGCCATCTTTTCGGGAAGTTTCGGACCCTCTCTCCAAATTGGACTGTTATAAGGTTTTCTGTTAATATGGCGTTTATGTGAAGGAGACCTGCAGAACCACACATAAGAGGTTTATCTTTATATTAGGGCCAGCAAAGGGTTGTGTATCAAAAAATCAGAACCGGTCGAACACAATCCACAGAGGACACTAGAGGCTGGTATAAAGGCTGGATATGGAGACTATAGCAGTAAGCGAAAGATTATGGAATGTATATAAATCAACAAAGCAGCCAACACCCTGAATATAAGGAAATTAAAGAGAAACTACTTGTGGCTATTGGATAGGTCTTGAAGGAGAGGGAACAAGAAGTAAAGCAAATGAACACAATCACACGCGGCAACGTTGCAGGATCAAAAATATAAATGATGTAGGTGAGGTTGCAACTGTTCGATCACAATTGCATTCGGTTCACTCTTTATCCAAAGCCACTTCATTTTTCAAAAAACATGTAGGACAAGCATAGGATATCCAACCAAATAATGAGATGTCTTATTAAATGGACAAATTTAGGCTATAAGAAGTAGGTATGATTGTAGCCGGCCGCTTATTTTTTTTAAGTTTGGTGAATCATCGTAAAGCATGGTGTCCTGCTCTGACAATGTCCATCACAAGGACGAACACTCAGCGAGGATTCATCAGTCATGAGAAGGCAACTTCCCTTCGAATTTCGGTGATACCACTCGCTTCTTCAAACGAAATTAATGTTACTTCAACATAAATCGATTAAGGGATTCTTCGAAAACTAGGCAATTAGTCTCAGTAACCGAAAAGAATTGTCTCAAGGACAGCGTTAACCAGAATGTTGATATAAAGCTAATTGAAAGGTGGTTAAGAGGAATCTGCCATATTTAGTTTTAATTCAAATCCAAAATGAGTAGCGTTGTCGATCGTGGTTGTCGCTTAATGCTAAGAATGACATGACTCACGGACAATGCTAGCAAGATGTCTGGGAATATGCCAAGTCCATAGTCAGTAGATAAGCATTATCTGTGAAAGAGGGTATTACATGAAGTGGTTTTATCTAGGTTGTCCTGTCAAGAAAACCAGGTTTCAAAGGCGCGGTCAGACCACCTATTTAAAGCTGCGTGAAATTCATTGGCATTGTGAGGCCTATTTATCACAGTGGGAAAACCCAATTATCAGTCCTTAAATCACCTTAAATGGTAAAGGCCGACTGAGTGCTTATTGAAAATTACTGAGTCTCGAAACCTAGTCACATCGAAATGAAGATGACGATATATACACAAAGTTCTCGGCGCAATGTCATGTGATCGATATGAATGCAAGCTTAGCCTTAGATTTCGAAGTTATAGATCGCAAGAGCGAAACAATTCTCTAAGCGCTAAAACGAGAAGAATTCTCATTTAAAAGCGAATTACCTAATTTAGCGGTTTTAATAAGCACCGCATTAATTGAATGGATACTTATACTTGTCCTAAAGACTTGTTAATAGGTGAAGAGGCCTAAATCAACAAGATATTAGTTGTTTGACCTTGTTTTTGCAACTTGGTCAGATTGGCAAGAAGACCAAGAGGAATGAACCTTGTCCGGAGTCCAAAGTATGCATGACAATTTCCAGAGTCGAGCCATTGACTTGATACATTCATAGACATTTCACTAGCAGCTTTACTTAATCTTGCAATTTTTAACACCACTACAATTTATTAAAGGGACAAGTGAAGTTAATCCTTCGACCAATTATCTGCTAACAGTTTTTTTATATATTTCCTTCTCTTCTGGTCTATTCACATATCCTATATCCTCGCATTACGCCTTCACTCACAATTTCTTATTTGCTTATTCAAACCTGGTGCCTTTTTGAGCGTAGTTCATGAGACCCATTCACACTCACCACTGGCCTTCTCACCCCCCTCTCTTGTGCTGGGAATGCTGATCTGAGTCTGATACTGGCATACCTTTCATTTCGTTTGAGAAGGCGGGTGGAAGGGATCCATAGATTGGCGAAACTAGATACCGAAAGAGGGTTGCCTTAGACTTTTGTGCAAAGAAGACCTCGGCTCATTGTCCTACGACCCTGTGTTGAGCATTCGTCCGTCATGTGATGGACATCGTCAGAGCCAGTATTCTCGAACAATCACCGAGACACTAAACCAAAAAAGGTAGCCGGCTGAGATCGTCACTTCCTATACCTCACTTCTTTGCATTATGAACCTGGACGAAGAGCTGTATAATTCCTTATTTTGCCCTAAATAATAGTTTCCTTTCACCCTATTTCTTAAATATCCTAAAATTGTTAAGAATTAATCTCAAGGAATAATTGTTATAACTAAGATTTTTCTTGGCCTTTCTAATTCCTGATTCTGAAGATTTATGTCCGCTAGTATAAACTCATTATTAGCATTGATTCCATTAG